AGTCTTGAATATAGACTTTTTTTTTAATGTCATCGAAATTATATGATTATAATATGATTTCTTGTAATTTAAAAGTAGGCTACTAAAAAACAACACAAAAACGTTATTCGCTCATAATTAGTAATCGAAATGTTTTTTTCTCTTCTTTTTTTATTTTGTTTTAAATGGTCAATAAATATTAAACTAGCAAAAATACAAACGTATTGTCCGCACACTGATATAACTGCTCCATAAGAATAATTTATTGCAACGTTTCGACCACCATCAGCCTGACGAAGACCTGATGGCCGAAACATTGCAATAACTTATTCTTATGGGGCAGTTCTATCAATGTGCGGACAATACGTTTGTATTTTTGCTATAGTTTGACTTTTTTTTGTCCTGCACCTGAGCCCTGTGTGGGTTTGTGGGATGTGCGCAACTTTTTTACACTTTGGTAATAAAGATTAAAGACATTCATATTTTTAGAGCTGGGTGGCCGATTTAATGCTAATATACTGTACAGTGTATTGTAGGCCTATGTATGGCTTAATATTGAATAAATTCATATCAGTATAGTCAATATTTATCACAATTAAAATAATTACTGAGTTTATCAGAACTGGCATTTTACAAAATAATCAATAACAATTTACTAAAAGATTGCTGTGTTGCTCAAGTTTCTTTTAGTGCTTGAATACAAGTAACTGCCATTGTATAGAGCTTAGTGAAGATTTTGCAAAAACATTACTTTTGGGACATGGGAATGAGTAAATAACAACAATTTTCATTTCTGGAAGAACTATTCTTATACATTTTTATTGAATACAGGCTCTCTGACTCTCTGACCCCGGTGAACTCAGGGTTGTGGGCATCATTGTTCTTTCGGGCGTATGTTCACCATGCTGTGTCAGTTATACATCAGAAGGCTGTCAGGACCACAGGGATAGAAATATTCATAACTATGCCACACAAATCCTGACCAGCTCTCGACAATGATAAAAGCAGTATTCCAATTTGATTATATTAGTCCACATATTATTAAATGTGATTTCTCTGAAAAGATAAAAAAAAAAGCATTGAATGGTGAATACACTGTCTGAAAAGGCTTACACAGCCTTATTGGTTAACAACAGCTTGTTTATTTTTCTTTTGTCTTTTTTTTTTGCTGATACGCACACTTCCACCTTGCCAGAGATTGGCAGTATGCATAATAAATGTGCTGAGTAAGTGAGAGGTTTACATATTCATAAAGCTATAGTAAGTGAGCACCAGTATAGCAGAAAAACCTTCCGTCTGTTCAAAAACAGACAATTTTGGAAGGTTAAACGCCTTATAAAAAAATAAAATCTACTGCATGCACATGAAATTGTTCAAAATACATTAAAGAAATAGTTCACCCAAAAATTAAAATTTGCCTGAAAATGTACTCACCCTCAGGCCATCCAATATGTAAATTAGTTTGTTTTTTTGTCGAAACAGGTTTGAAGAAATGTAGCATTACATCACTTGCTCACCAATGGATCCTCTATAGTGAATGGGTGCCGTCGGAATGAGAGTTCAGACAGCTGATAAAAGCATCAAAATAATCAACAAGTAATCCACACGACTCCAGTCCATCAATTCACATCTTGTGAAGTGCACTGCTGCATGCTTCTAATAAACAAATTCAAGGCATTTTAAATTTAAACTGTCACTTCTGGCCACAATATGAGTCCATAATCCATAATAACGCATCCT